TTCCCAAAAAGGTTTGCCTTTCTCGCCTTCTCGGGCTTCCGACGCTCGAAGACAGCCTAAGAGGCCCCCAAGACCGCCTCAAGACGGCCCGTGAGGCCCCCGAAAAGGTCCCAAGACGGCCCAAGAAAGCCCGAACAAGGGTCAAGAGGGCCTAAAGACAGCCCAAGGGCCCAAGAAGGGAACCACGAACCGAAAATTCTAGCTCTCCGCCCCCAGAGGCTCCCGGGATGGCCCAAGAGGCCCTCAAGAGGCTCCACGAGTCCCCACGAGACCCCAAAGAGCCTCAAAACACGCTTCAAGAGGCTCCGAGACAGCCCCCCAGAGGCCGCCAAACTGCCTCGGGAAGGTCACAGCGATGCTTCTAACGAGATCCCACCGCACATTCAAGAGGCTTCTGAGCCACAGCCTAGGTACGGTGGCGGGATGGGCCGAATACCACCAGATCCGCCGCCCCCTGCTTGCAGGGGTGCACGGCGTGCTGGATGTTTCAGGTTTTGGTTTTGGTTCTTTTTCCAAAAGAACTCCCCCAGTGGGCTCCGGCACGTCCCGCCGGGGTCCCGGGAGGAAGCCGAAAGGACCTCAATCCGGAAAAAATCCTCCAAAAAACGGCCGTTTCGCTCGGGACATCCTCAAAAAATCGCGAAGATGGCCCAAGATGGCCTCCAAGTCCGCCCGAGATGGTCCAAGACGGCCTCCAAAACGGCCCAAGAGAGTCCAAGACGGCCCAAGACGGCCCAAGAGGCCCCCCAGAGGCCTCCCAGACGGCCCAAGAGGCCTCCAAGAGGTCCTCCAGGAGAGTCCGAAGAGGCCAAAATCATTGATTTTTCCTTGGTTTTTGAAGGATTCTGGCATTTGCGCCTTTTCGGCTCTCCGACGGCTCGAGACGGCCCAAGAAGCCCCCAAGATCGCCCAAGAGGCCCCCAAGAGAGCCCCATGATGGCCCAAGTGGCCTCCAAGATGGCCCCTAGAGGGCCCCAAGAGGGCCCAAGAGGCCTCCAACACGCCCAAGATGGCCTCCCAGACGCCCAAGATGGCCTCCAAGACGGCCCTGGAGCATTCCAAGCGGGCCCCAAGTCGGCCCATAGAGGCCCCCCAAACGGCTTCCGACGGCTTCAGACGTGCCAGGAACCCACCAAGATGGCCGAAGTTGGCTCGAAGCTGGCCCGAGACGGCCCAAAAAGCCCCAAAGATCGCCCAAAGCTTGCCCAAGAGGCCTCCAAGACGGCCAAGATGACCTTCAAGATGCCCACGTGTTCCCCGAAGGCTTTCCAAACCGATTCGGGGAACACGTGGTCCGATAGCTTGGCAGGTCTGGCCTCAACGTTCGGCCACATAGGCGCTTCCAAAAAGGCAGGGGGCGGCGGTGATTCGCCGTAGGCGTCTTCGATCCGCCGCCCCCTGCTTGCAGGGGTGCACGGCGTGCTGGATGATTCAGTTTTGGTTTTGGTTCTTTTTCTAAAAGAACTCCCCAGTGGGCTTCGGCCCGTCCCGCCGGCCACCCGTAAATTTCCGAAAATCCGTCTGTCAATGCCTTTGTTGCCCCAACTTGGCCCAAGATGGCCTCCAAGACGGCCAAGATGGCCCAAGATGGCCTCCAAGATGCTTCCAAGACGGCCACGATGGCCTCCAAGACGGGTAAGATGGCTCCAAGATGCCTCCAAGACGGCCCAAGATGCCCTCCAAGACGGCCAAGATGGCCCCAAGATGCCTCCAAGATGGCCCACGAGGCCTCCAAGACGTTCTCCAGGAGAGCCCGAAGAGGCCAAAATCATTGGTTTTCCTTAGGTTTTTGAAGGTTTTTTGCGTTTTCATCTTTTCGGCCTTCCGACGGCCCAAGAGGCCCCCAAGATCGCCCAAGAGGCCTCCAAGAAGGCCCTATGACGGCCCAAGGGCCCCCCAAGACGGCCCCAAGAGCGCCCCAAGACGGCCCAAGAGGCCTCCAAGACGCCCAACATGGCCTCCAAGACGGCCCTGAAGCGCCCCAAGAGGGCCCCAAGACGGCCCAGAGAGGCCCCCAAGACGGCTCCAGACGGCGTCAGACGGACCAGGAACGCCCTAAGACGGCCAAAGAGACCCCCAGGAAGCCCCCAAAGGCCCCCAAGAGGCCCAAGGAGGCCCCCAAGATGCCTCCAAGAGGCCTCGAAGAGGCCCCCAAGAAGCCCCCAACAGACCCCAAGGGTGCCCCAAGAGACTCCTAACAACCCTCATCCTCCTACTCTATTTCTTCCTCTTCCTCTTCCTGTTCATAATCATTCTCTCCCATGTGTTCCCCGAAAGCTTTCCAAACCGACTCGGGGAACTCATGGTCCGATAGCTTGGCCAAGCTCTAGTCCAACTGTCGGCCACATCGGCGTTTCCAAAAAGGCAGGGGGCGGCGGTGATTCGCCGTAGGCGTCTTCGATCCGCCGCCCTGTTGATTCATCACAGGGGTGCCTGGCGTGCTGAACCCTTTCGGTTTTGGTTCTGCTTCTTTTCCACAAGAACTCCCCCTGGGGCTTCGGCCCGTCCCGCTGGCCACCCGAAAAGATTGCCCAGGACCTCAATCCCCTAAAAATCCCCCAAGACAGCTCAAGATGGCCTCTCAGATGACCACGTCGGCCCAAGATGGCCTCCAAGATGGCCCAAGATGGCCTCCAAGTCACACAAGATGGTCCAAGATGGCTTCCAAGACGGCCCGAGAGTCCAAGATGCCTTCAAGTTCGTCCAAGAAGCCTCCAAGACGGCCCAAGATGGCTCCAACATGGCCTAAGACTGGCCGAGAGGCCCCCAAGAGGCCTCCAAGAGCTCCACCAGGAAGACCCAAAAGGGCGAACTTCCTTGATTTTCTGTTGGGCTTTTGAAGGATTTAGGAATTGTCGTCTTTCAGCTCTCTGACGGCCCAAGACGGCCCAAGAGGCCCCCAACATCGTCCCAAGAGCGCCCAAGAGGCCTCCAAGATGGCCCCATGACAGCCCAAGATGCCCCCAAGAGGGCCCCAAGAAGAGCCCAAGACCCAAGACGGCCCAAGAGGGCCCCCAAGACGCCGAAGATGGCCTCCAAGACGGCCAAGATAGCCTCCATCCAAGACGGCGAAGATGGCCCAAGATGCACCCAAGACGGCGCCAGATGGCCTCAAGATGGCCTTAGACTGCCCAGGAGGCCTGCAAAAGGCCTGGAAGACGGCCCAAGAGCCCTCCAAGACGTCCTGCAGGAAGGCCCGAAAGCTCGGAAACCACCTGGTCCGATAGCTCGCCCGACTCCGTGTTCCCCGAAAGCTTTCGAAACCCACTCGGGGAACGCGTGGCCCGATAGCTTGGCCAAACCCAAACTCAACTTTCGGCCACGCAGGCGCTTCCAAAAAGGCAGGGGGCGGCGGTGATTCGCCGTAGGCGTCTTCGATACAAATACATAAGTCACGCAGCAACCGGAAGCAGCAGCAGCGCCCTAGGATGCCTCCATGACGTTCCACTAACCCTCGAAGAGGCTGTCTAAAAGGACGCCAACAGTTAGAACAACGGCCCAGGAAGCCTCCAACTCCGTCTCCAGACGACTCACGAGGCTCCCACCCGGGCTTGTAGAGCCTACGCTGGCCCCACGACGGCCCAAGAGAGCTTCAAGACAGCCCCATAGCGCTCGAAGACAGCTGTAGTTACTAAAGGCCCAGGGCGGGGACCACGAACTGCAAACGCAGCTCCCCGCCCCAGCAAATCTTCTTGGAGACCTCACAAACTCCCCGAGAGGACCCAAAAGTCCCCCAACACACACAGGCAAAACACTCCCACGGGGAAAGGTCTACCCGGCCAGGCCGGGCCAGCAGGGCTAGCCAGGAAGGGTAATTTGCGGGCCGGCTGGGACGGGCACTTTGCTCCAGCAATGCTGCCAAGATGGCATCGACGGCCTCAAAACGGGCCAAGAGGCCACAAGAGACGTCCAAGACGATCCACGAAAGCCCCAAGTCGCCGAAACATCGGCCCAAGACGCCCACGGTGGCCTCCGGACAGCCCAAGATGTCTCCAAGACGCCCGAACAGGCTTCGAAGACATCTCCCACAAGGGCCCCAAAAGGCAAAAGATGATCATTTGTATTGGTTTTCAAAGTTTTTGCCTTGCTCGCCTTCTCGGGCTTCCGACGCTCAAAAACTGCCCAAGTGGCCCCCAAGACCGCCTCAAGACGAACCGTCAGGCACCCGAGAAGGTCCCAAGAAGGCCCAAGAGGGCCCGAACACGGGTCAAGAGTGCCTCAAGACAACCAGGAGCAACGCAAGGCCCCCACGACGGCCCAACGACGGCAGCTGCGACCTCCAAGACGCCTACAGAGGCGCCCAAGAAAACCAGCCAAAGGACCCGATCGGACACTCCAAGCCCTCAGTCCCAAGAAGACCACAGGAGGTCCAACCAGAGCCCCCACACGGCTGACACGAGGCCCCCACCGGACGGCATCTACTACACCCCCAAGGGGTCGGCGGTGCGGCGTAAGCCCAAGAAAAATTGATGAATCGTAAAATTGAGAGCGATGGTGTAGGGGAGAGTCATTGGGCATGAACGAGTAAAGATACAGGAGGACTGCATGGGATATGGCAAGGTCGAAGATCGGGCACAGGAGGCAAGATGATCGGGCAGGAGGGAAAAATTACAGAGATACAGCGACAGGCAGAAAATCATATCGAAACAAACAGCGCGGATGGAGGAAGAGGATGATGAGGATGAGGAGAAGAAAGCAAGAAGACATGGAGGAGGAAGGGGGCAGAAAAAGGATGAAGGAATGGGGCATGGAGCCCATGGATCAGAAAAGCGTTGTTGCTCGAGTCGTGCTCACCCTCTCCACTAAAATGTCCTGTCCCTGTCTCTGTGTATATCAGACGAGGCTCGTTGGAAATGCTTCATGCTGTGTTCTGTCGTCTCAGGGAATCATTTGGCCCAGTTTGGGTGCCTCATGGGGCTTCCTGGACGTCGGGAGGCGCAGAAGGAGGAAGGACCTTACAGGGGCGTTCTCGGAGGGGGGGGGGGGGGCTCAGGAGCTGCCTCGACGTGCGGGTCCATCGCGCCCCGATCGAACATTAGCTCCATGCGCTTGAGGGAGTCCAAAGAGGCCTGCAAAGCTATGAGAAACAACGGCATATACGGAAACAGCATAGACTGTCTGGATGGGTGAGGGAAAGGGGGTCTACCGCCGACCCAACAAATCCGCGAGCGCGGGCCTCCGACAGTCCATCTGTATGTAGCATCTGCTCTTCAGGAGCTCCCCAAGGGGCTCATATGGCTCATATACCCTCCTTCTCGTATATCGCCTATTCCTCCTGCTTCGCACCACAGAAGAAACTTCCACCAAAACCGCTCACACAGCCCCCTCGCTTCGAGCTTGATCGGTCTCCAGCATCCTCATGCATGGCGCGCAAATCGCGAGGCGTACACCACTACACCGACAAGCAACCAATAGACCACAGATACAACTGGAGCATGGCCGCAAAAACGTGGGTCAAGAACCCGAGCCCCCTCACCAAAAGCCGAAAGCCCCATTGAGCGTTCCAAGGCGAAGAGCTCAAACATGGAGAACACGAGGGTAACACGAGGGTACCTGGTACCCCTCCAAAGCTAGGGCTATTCTGAATCATCCTGCCAACTGTAACCTATTATTCGGCCCGTGAGTCTGAACAAAACTGGGGACGACACCGACTGGCTCAAAAGTACACGCAGCGAGCCGACTGATGCAGCGGGAGGACACGGTGTGAGTGGACGCGGCGACTTGCGACTGCATCGCTATGAATCACGTGTCACGTGACCCACACTGCTGACCCTTTCTTTCTTACGTCTGGTTCACGTCGCGATGACGCCAGCAATGGAGCCCCTTTCCAATCAATTTGCAAAATTGGCATGATCACGCTGGGTAAGCAGCTCTTGTGGCCGGATCTGCCCCCCAACGGTTCAAGCAGCAGCTCTGCAGGGCGAGCAAGGTGAGTTCGTGTCGCGATGACGTCGGGGCCGGTGTCTGGTAGCGCGTGGACCGCTGTGTTGAGAGATCTCGGCTGTCCGATGGCGCACATTCTTCGACATGTGCCAATTCTGGGCCACTGGCGTCGTTCAAGCTTGGAACACCCGCGATGGGATCGCCGCCGCGTTGACGCGGCGCGAACCCGCCGTAGTCGTCCCGTGAACCTGGCACTTGCTGCTTGAACCGTCTGGACACAGACCAAGCCACAGGATCGACTCCTCTATCTCAAGCAAACAAACTCGGCCAGCTTCCCGACTGATGGGAATACGGCAGCAAAGCGAACCGGAACTGGCCAAATACAAGAGGAAGAGGAACAACACGACGACGACGGCGACAACGGCGGCTGCGGGTTCTCTCCTGTACCACAGATGGGTTCGTGGACGTCAGCGCCCTCTTCATAAGTGGTAGCATGGCCTCTGGAGAATAGGATTGACGTCGTCGTCGCCGCCGTCGACCTCGTAGAACGAGGGGTCGGAACACAAAGACCAAGAGGAGGGGAGACGCTGAAGCTGAGGAAGGAAACCCACAAGGAGCCAGAGCGCAAATGGAATGCATGAAGAAAACGAGGAAACACGGAACACAAATGGAGGCCTCGCTCCTGTCCTTCCCCCCCTCGTTCCCTTTCCGTTCCCCGTCCTTTTTGTCTCCCTCGCGGTGTTCTACTGTCTCCCCGCCCCTTCCCCGGTCCCTCCGCCGCCTTATTTTTCTCCCTCACATCTACTTCCCGCGCTTTCCGTCATCTGAGCCTACGGCTGCCTATCCCCCACACCCCCTGGTTATTTCCCCCGACGAACGGATCGCGACGCTACGCGCGCTTTCCGTCATCTGAGCCTACGGCTGCCTCCCCCCCACACTCACCTTGCTCCCGACTAACGGATCGCGACGCTACGCGCGCCTTCCGTCATCTGAGCGTAGGGCTGCCTCCCCCGCACACCCCCTTGTGATTGCTCCCGACGAACGGATCGCGACGCTACGCGCGCTTCCCGTTATCAGGGGTCGGGCTGCCTACCCCCCCTCCTTGATATTTCACCCGGCTTACGGATCGCGAGGCTACGCGCGCTGTCCGTCATCTGGGTGCGGGGCTGCCTACCCCCCACACCACCCCTTATGATTGCTCCCGGCTAGTGGATCGCGACGATACGCGCGCTATCCGTCATCTGGCGGTCGGGCTGCCCAACCCCCCACCCAACTAAATATTTCTCCCGACTCACGGATCGCGACGCTACGCGCGCTGTCCGTCACCTCGTAGGCAACACGCATACACTCATCAGCATCCAGTCGCAGAGACAACTATATCATTGCTTCTCCGCGCCCTCTTCCTCAACCTCACCATCATTACACGCCTCCTCTTCCCCGATCATTATCGCCGCCACCTAGAAGGGAGAGCGGGAAGAGGAACATTACCCATACTTTCGAGGTCGTGATCTCTCAGAGCATGGAACGTCAGAGATCTTAGCCTCAGCCCGAGGACTGTGCGTTCATCGCAGTTTCTGTACCACGGGAACCATCACATCAACATGGTGCTAGCTCGCGCGAATGCGATTCGTATCACGAGCCGAGTGAGAGAGATCGAGATGCAGATCAGCAACCCATATCGAGAGGGGTGAAGGCAGATGCTGCTCATCAGGGTTCAATGTGATGCCATAGTTCTACAAACAAAACAAAAAAGGCCGCGAGCGGGGGGAAGAGGGGAGAAAAGGAAAAGAGAGAGAGAGAGAAGAAGAAGGAGACAGTGGGAAGCAACCGGCCGTGAAATTGCTGATGGATGGCTGCTTGGTCAATCCTGGTCTCACCGCGAGCCGTGGTACATGAAACTGTCCTTTTGACCAGGATAGGCCTCCAAAGCCTGGGGAAGCCCAGCTGTCGCGTTCCTTACGCGACGCCTGACAGTATAGGTCTTCTCGACGACGCAGACGCAGTCGCCGCCGCTCCCAGACCTCTTGGCCTCGACCAGGAGAGTAGATGCACCATGCTAGGGCTCAAGACGGCCCCCACCAAGGAAGGAGGAGATATACGGCTGCCTTCTGAGGAGGATAGGGCGGGCCGTCGTCGTCCTCCTCCTCCTCCTTTTGACTCTGCGGGTTGCGCCGCAGGCGATGACCTCCTCCTCCTCCGCCTCCTCCTCCTCCGCCTCCTCCTGGTCCTCCTCCGCCTCCTACTCCTCCTCCTCCTCATTCTCCTCCATGCCTTTTCCATATAAATAACTTACCCCTGTCGCACCCCGAGGCCAGTTTTGAGGGCGGGCCGGGCGTTCCGCCTGAGACTTCCTCACCATTTATGACTCTGAAGCTTAAACATTGGCAACAGCTTCACAGATGGAGGGCGCGTCGTTTCAAAGTGTGGCTCTCGCCTTCGCGCGGCGCACATTCGTTAAACGAATCACAAGGGTTTCACGGATTGAGGGCGGGTCGTGTTCAAAATGTGGTTCTCGAACAATGTTTTGGCATGCTTCAGGGTCTTCAAACGGTTGCCTTCCAACGAGGCAGTTCCCTCAATGGAACTGAACCGTTGTGGGGGCCTATGAAGAGCTTGGAGGGTGGGTTTATTCCAACATCACTGATGACTCTTAGGTTTACAGTGGTCCTCTTCCTCCTCCTCCTCCTCATCCTCCTCCGCACCACTCTTCTCCCTCAATTTCTCCTGGAGCCCCCAAAAGCGAGAGGCCAGAGTTGCGCGACCACGGCCTTCACCATGGAGCTATGTTCGCCCTCGTCCACGTCGCCCGGCACGGCCATTGTCCACCTAACCGGGCACGCGGCAGGCTGCATAACGTCCACAACAGAAGAAGATACAAACACACATGCATACACACACACGCACACACACAGGCGCGCACACACACACAAAAACACACACACACACACACAAAAACACACACAGACACGGACACAGACACAAACACAGATACAGACACTGACACACACACACACACAAACACAAACACAGACACAGACACAGACACAGACACAGACACAGACACAGACACGGACACGGACACGGACACGGACACAGACACAGACACAGACACAGACACAGACACAGACACAGGCACAGGCACAGGCACAGACACAGACACGGACACTGACACACACACGCGCGCGCACACACACACGCACTCACACACACACACACACAAACGCACACACAAACGCACACACACACACACACGCAACACACACAACACACACACACACACACGCGCACACACAACACATGTACATGCTCGACTTGGCCTCCCGCCTCGCCCTGGACACCCATGCGACGCTAGGGCTTCCCTGGGCTCACCGACTGCAGAAAACATGTGTTTTTCCCCACATGCTTCGTGGGGTTCTGGTTTTCTTCACTGCCGCGCCGCACCCGCGACACACACCTCATTTTCTTACAGCACAGCTCAGCACAGCACAACACATCACAGCACAGCACAGCTCAGCGCAGCACACAGCTCAGCTCAGCTCAGCACACAGCACAGCTCAGCACAGCTCTGCACAGCTCAGCACAGCCCAGCACGGCTCAGCTCAGCTCAGCGCAGCACAGCTCGTGGCACTTTCTCGACACCACAGGGGGTGCGCAGGGGGTGGTCTCTCAGCTCGGCCGTTATCCACGACACTGGCGCAATGCCCAGCAGGCGTGGCACTTTCTCGACACCACAGGGGGTGCGCAGGGGGTGGTCTCTCAGCTCGGCCGCTATCCACGACACTGGCGCCAAGCCTAGCAGGCGTAGCGCTTTCTCGACACCAAAGGGGGTGCGCAGGGGGTGGTCTCTCAGCTCGGCCGCTATCTACGACACTGGCGCAAAGCCCAGCAGGCGTGGCACTTTGTCGACACCACAGGGGGTGCGCAGGGGGTGGTCTCTCACCGCGGTCCCAATCCACGACACTGGCGCAAAGCCTCGCAGGCGTGGCACTTTCTCGACACCAAAGGGGGTGGGCAGGGGTGGTCTCTCAGCTCGGCCGCTATCCACGACACTGGCGCAAAGCCTAGCAGGCGTGGCACGCTCTCGACACCACAGGGGGTGCGCAGGGGGTGGTCTCTCAGCTCGGTCCCAATCCACGACACTGGCGCAAAGCCTAGCAGGCGCGGCACTTTCTCGACACCAAAGGGGGTGCGCAGGGGGTGGTCTCTCAGCTCGGCCGCTACCCACGACACTGGCGCAAAGCCTAGCAGGCGTAGCACTTTCTCGACACCACAGGGGGTGCCCAGGGGTGGTCTCTCAGCTCGGCCAATATCCACGACACTGGCGCAAAGCCTAGCAGGCGTGGCACTCGCGACACCACAGGGGGTGCGCAGCTCTCAGCTCGGCCGCTATCCACGACACTGGCGCAAAGCCTAGCAGGCGTGGCACTTTCTCGACACCACAAGCAGGGGGTGGTCTCTCGCAGCTCTCAGCTCGGCCGCTATCCACGACACTGGCGCAAAGCCTAGCAGGCGTGGCACTTTCTCGACACCACAGGGGGTGCGCAGGGGGTGGTCTCTCAGCTCGGCCGCTATCCACGACACTGGCGCAAACCTAGCAGGCGTGGCACTTTCTCGACACCACAGGGGGTGCGCAGGGGGTGGTCTCTCAGCTCGGCCGCTATCCACGACACTGGCGCAAAGGCTAGCAGGCGTGGCACTTTCTCGACACCACAGGGGGTGCGCAGGGGGTGGTCTCTCAGCTCGGCCGCTATCCACGACACTGGCGCAAAGCCTAGCAGGCGTGGCACTTTCTCGACACCACAGGGGGTGCGCAGGGGGTGGTCTCTCAGCTCGGCCGCTATCCACGACACTGGCGCAAAGCTAGCAGGCGTGGCACTTTCTCGACACCACAGGGGGTGCGCAGGGGGTGGTCTCTCAGCTCGGCCGCTATCCACGACACTGGCGCAAAGCCTAGCAGGCGTGGCACTTTCTCGACACCACACGGGGTGCGCAGGGGGTGGTCTCTCAGCTCGGCCGCTATCCACGACACTGGCGCAAAGCCTAGCAGGCGTGGCACTTTCTCGACACCACAGGGGGTGCGCAGGGGGTGGTCTCTCAGCTCGGCCGCTATCCACGACACTGGCGCAAAGCCTAGCAGGCGTGGCACTTTCTCGACACCACAGGGGGTGGCAGGGGGTGGTCTCTCAGCTCGGCCGCTATCCACGACACTGGCGCAAAGGCTAGCAGGCGTGGCACTTTCTCGACACCACAGGGGGTGCGCAGGGGGTGGTCTCTCAGCTCGGCCGCTATCCACGACACTGGCGCAAAGCCTAGCAGGCGTGGCACTTTCTCGACACCAAAGGGGGTGGGCAGGGGGTGGTCTCTCAGCTCGGCCGCTATCCACGACACTGGCGCAAAGCCTAGCAGGCGTGGCACTTTCTCGACACCACAGGGGGTGCGCAGGGGGTGGTCTCTCAGCTCGGCCGCTATCCACGACACTGGCGCAAAGCCTAGCAGGCGTGGCACTTTCTCGACACCACAGGGGATGCGCAGGGGGTGGTCTCTCAGCTCGGCCGCTATCCACGACACTGGCGCAAAGCCTAGCAGGCGTGGCACTTTCTCGACACCAAAGGGGGTGGGCAGGGGGTGGTCTCTCAGCTCGGCCGCTATCCACGACACTGGCGCAAAGCCTAGCAGGCGTGGCACTTTCTCGACACCACAGGGGGTGCGCAGGGGGTGGTCTCTCAGCTCGGCCGCTATCCACGACGCTGGCGCAAAGCCTAGCAGGCGTGGCACTTTCTCGACACCACGCGAGGTGCGCAGGGGGTGGTCTCTCAGCTCGGCCGCTGTCCACGACACTGGCGCAAAGCCTAGCAGGCGTGGCACTTTCTCGACACCACACGAGGTGCGCAGGAGGTGGTCTCTCAGCTCGGCCGCTATCCACGACACTGGCGCAAAGCCTAGCAGGCGTGGCACTTTCTCGGCACCACAGGGGGTGCGCAGGGGGTGGTCTCTCAGCTCGGCCGCTGTCCACGACACTGGCGCAAAGCATAGTGGGCGTAGCACTTTCTCGACCCCACAGGGTGTGCGCAGGGGGTGGTCTCTCAGTTCGGCCGCCATCCACGACACTGGCGCAAAGCCTAGCAGGCGTGGCACTTTCTCGACACCACAGGGGGTGGGCAGAGGGTGGTCTCTCAGCTCGGCCGCTATCCACGACACTGGCGCAAAGCTTTGCAACCGTGGCACTTTCTCGACACCACAGGGGGTGCGCAGGGGGTGGTCTCTCAGCTCGGCCGCTATCCACGGCACTGGCGCAAAGGCTAGCAGGCGCAGCACTTTCTCGACACCGCAGGGGGTGCGCAGGGGGTGGTCTCTCAGCTCGGCCGCTATCCACGACACTGGCGCAAAGGCTAGCAGGCGCGGCACTTTCTCGACGCCGCAGGGGGTGCGCAGGGGGTGGTCTCTCAGCTCGGCCGCCATCCGCGACACTTGCGCAAGGCCTAGCAGGGAACATTCGCGACGAGGGCCCAGAACGCAGGATTGTGTGTATATATATATATATATATACATAAGCAAACACATAAGATTTAAATTAAGTATGCGGGGTTCCTCGGTAGCGTAATTCCCGTCGATCGGCGCGCACGTCGCTCTTAAGCGCCGTTTTCGGTGACGAAGAATATTGCAACAGCCAACGCGCAGGGACGCCGGGGGGGCTCTGATATTCGGCATGCCGGAACGACGACATGTTTACCCAGATGGGGCAGTTGGAGCACGCCTCGTCTGGCTGACCTTTTTTTGTGTGTATTTGTGTCTCTCTCTCTCTCTCTCTCTCTCTCTCTCTCTCTCTCTCTCTCTCTCTCTCTCTCTCTCTCTCTCTCTTTCTTTCTATATATATATATATATATATATATATATAATATATATATATATTATATATCGTTTCCGCTGCAGGTGACTCCTGTCCGTTCCGAAGGTGAGGATAAAGAGCAGAAGGAAGAGGATTAGTAGGAGGACGACGGCAAGGTTGGTCTGTAACGCAAAATGGCTTGCCTACGCTTGCTCCCCTATGAAGCTGAGGATCAGTGGGCGGGCAAAGCTTGAGCTTATCGAGAACAAAAGGGCAAGCGAAAGGCCTCGGCAAGCATAGTTCCAAAACTGCCGCGATACACTACATTCCACGTTTCCAACCAAAATCAAGCCTGGGCCCCTTGATGACGCATTATATATATACACACATGTATACACGAATTGGGTTCTAGATGGCCGTGGCCAACGATGGCGCTGTGGACGCAGAGACCCGCATCCAGGAGTAGCACGGAGGCCCCGCAGCGCAAGGGCCCGAACTACTCCCAGGGAGTTGATGCCCAAGGGCGGTGGGTGCATTGTTCAAAATCGGCCGAACGCCTGAGCCCAACTCGCCACGAGCATCGGACAGAACGAGAGGCACACGGGGGCGCGCCATGGAATCGCCCTACAATCGGCGCGATGGCGGCGAAAGAAGAGACTGACGTTGATGCCGCTTCTACGGGCGGCGGCGCTGGGCGACCTGTAGCGCGGGGCCCGAGCCACGCCCCGGGATTTGACGCCTCCTTTCCACGATGGGAAAGGGCCGCCGCGGAGGAAGGGGGCGGAGGCCCAGAGGCGTCGCGGGGCGTGGTCCCCAGGGCCCCCGCAGGACGCGGCCGGCGTCGAGGCCCGCCCGCCGCGCTGCGCTCCGCTCGCCCCGCCGCTCAGGCACCGCCGCTCCCACTGCCGCGCTGCGCCGCGCATTGAGGGCACGGGCGCGGCCTCGACGCCCCGCCCGTCGGGCGCACCGCGGCTGAGGGCATCCACCCCGCCCAAGGCCCCC